TCCAAAAAAGTTCAATCTGGTCCTCTGGACATTCAAAAAAAACAAAACAAAGCAAAACAACAAAAAAATGTAGAAACGTTTCGTCTCTCATCCGAGAGACTTCCTCAGTCTGAGGTGCTGTATTCAGCTCAGTCTCTTAAATAGCACCTTCTCAGAGTGGATCAACCAGTTTTGCTGCTGACAACCAAAACCAGCTGATCACATGCTCAAGAAGGACCATCAGCCTAACAATGGATCATTAGCACACTGATGGCTGTTTACTATTCACAGAGGGCTGAGTGATACTAGCAATCACAGTATTGTAAGAGGGGGACAGTTGAACCTGGAGGCCTCCACCCCTGTTTAATGATGGACAATTTATTTTCACAAAGATGGCCTCCTTTACTCCTCTCTCAAACCATCGTTCCTCTCTGTCCAGGATGTGAACATCTTCATCCCTGAAAGAGTGACCGCTGGCCTGGAGATGAGTGTAGACCGCAGAGTCCTGGCCTGATGATGTTGATCTTCTGTGCTGGGCCATCCTTTTGGCCAGTGGCTGTTTAGTTTCCCCGATGTAAGACTGATCACAGCCCTCCTGACTGTAAGGATCCCACTGCCTGCAGCCTGCCCTGCTGATGGCCGCTGATTACCAACACCTGGCGGCCATCAGCCTGATGAGCCTCTCCATCTACTTAAGGCTGCAGTCCGGTGTGATTCAACGCTGGAGCATATCACCTCTTATGGTATTGTACTGTTGTGAGGCAAATGTTTTGGTGAAAAGAATTTGTTCACCTTTTGCTCTTTTTTCCAGTTTCCTGGTTCCTCGTGCTCTTTGGATTTCCCTCGTGACCTGATTTGGATCCTAGGCCTCTCAGGTATTCCTCGTGCCTCTTTGCCTCCAGTGCCAGCCTTCCTCGTTCCCCTTTGGACTCTGTTGGATTCCCCTCTGCTGCTCGCTCGCCTTGGACTGAAGGACCAGCTCTCCCTTCGGGTTGGACTGTAAGGACAAACACACTCCTTAACAATCAACTTGAGCCTTCCCCGTTGGACAGCCATTAACCTGTCGTCCCTCTTTCCAGGAGCCTCAGACCAGCAGCCTGTGGATGTGATTTAAACTCACTGTAAATAATAAACACTGTTATTTTGTATTCCCCTTGTGTCTGCCTCGTTCTGGGTCTCATATCATCTGGGTTCCCCGCGCACTCCTAACAGAAATGCTCCAGCCACAACAGACCCAGAATGAGACCAAGAGCAAACAGACCTCCCCCGTTCCCGCGGAGGAGCGGATCGACAGGATGGACAAAGTAATTCATCAGGTGCTGACTCACCAGACCACGGTCCAGTCCAACCTTCAGGAGCTCGGAGGTATGATTTATTCCATTAAACGTCAGCTGCAAGCTTCTGCCTCCCCAGCTCCCGTCGTTCCGCCAGCCCCCGTGGCTCTTGGTCCCACTCCTCCTGTTCAACAAATTTTCATTAAACCTTCTGAGTTTTTTACCGGAGACCCTGACCAATGTGGCGGCTTCCTGCTCCAGTGTCGACTCGCCTTCGAGGGGGCTCCCTCCCAGTTCTCGTCGGACACAGCCAAAATCACCTTCTTCGTAAGCCAGCTCAAAGGTAACGCTCTCCGGTGGGCTCACTCGTTCCTCTTGAGTCATGATAACCCCCCTGCTTCCTATGCCCTCTTTCTTCGGGAGTTTCGCAGGATTTTTGACCGTCCCCTGCAGGCTTCAAATGCCGCCAAGCGATTGTTGAACTTACGACAGGGCCGTCGTAATGCCTTGGAGTTCGCTCTGGAGTTTCGGATCCTCGCTGCCCAAACAGGATGGGACGAGCCCGCCCTCCAAGGTATTTTCCTTAACGCTCTCTCTGATTTCCTCAAAGATCAGCTGGCCACGCGAGATGAGCCTGAGACTTTCGACAAGCTAATAGACCTTGCCATCTCGATCGACGACCGCTTCCGGGAGAGGCGAAGAGAAACAAACTACAGTTCCCATCGACCCTCGACTTCCGGGTTTCCGACTCCTCCAGGTGAGCCCAAGCCTGCACCGTGACACTACGTTTCCCACAATTCCCCCACTTCCGGGTTTTCGACCCCTCGCTACGAGTCCTTTTCTTCGAATCAGCCCCCTGTGAACTACAACTCCCAGTCTTCCTTGCTTCCTGGTCACAGCCAATCACCTTCTTTCCCTTCACGGGATCGCTCCCCCGAGCCTATGCAGGTGGGGCGTGCACGGCTGACTCCTGCAGAGAGACAGCGGCGTATGTCTGCCCGTCTCTGCATTTATTGTGGTAACTCCGGTCACTTTCTGCCCCACTGTCCGTTTCGGGGAAACGAGAACTTCCACCAGTAAAGCGGGAGTTACTGGTGGGAACGTCTGCGTTAACCTCCCCATTTAAATTGTTACTTCCCATGGTCATCTAAACACAAGACCGTCGCTTTTCTTTTTCAGCTCTTATTGACTCAGGCGCTGAACAAAATTTGATCAGCTCTGATTTAGTTAAAAAATATTCCCTTCCGACTCGCGAAATACCGCCAATTTCTGTCGCCGGCCTAACCGGGGACACGCTGACCCGTATTAATTTAAAGACCACCGAGTTACATGTCATTATGTCAGGAAATCATCATGAAATGACTGATTTCTTCGTTTTCAATTCTCAAACTCCTCAAGTAATTCTTGGTTTCCCTTGGCTTCGTAATCATAACCCAGTTATCAACTGGGAGCGCGGTTGTATAGATAAATGGAGCGACAAGTGCCTCAGCAATTGTTTACGCTCAGCTGTTAAAGCGTCCCCTCGTGACACGCCTCCTTTAGAGGAGATCGACCTTTCCTCGGTTCCTGCAGAATACCGTGACCTGGCGGCTGTCTTTAGTAAACAACGCGCTTTGTCACTTCCTCCTCATCGCCCCTACGACTGCGCGATTGACTTGTTACCTGGTGCCCCCTTGCCGTCAAGCAGACTCTACAACCTTTCTGGTCCTGAAAGGGAGTCTATGACTAATTATATAAATGAATCTCTTGCCTCAGGCATTATTAGACCCTCGACCTCCCCTGTGGGAGCGGGTTTTTTCTTTGTTTCTAAAAAAGATAAGTCACTCCGGCCATGTATAGATTATCGTGGGTTAAATAACATAACAATTAAAAATAAGTACCCTCTTCCTCTTATTGACTCACTTCAGGAGCAGTTGCAGTCTGCTTCCTGCTTTTCAAAACTTGATCTGCGAAACGCGTACCACCTCGTCCGTATTAAGGAGGGCGACGAGTGGAAGACCGCTTTTCGCACTCCTCTGGGCCACTTCGAATATTTAGTCATGCCCTTCGGGTTAACCAATGCCCCCGCGATTTTTCAGGCGCTCGTTAATGACGTCCTGCGCGATTTTATTGGTAATTTTGTGTTCGTTTATTTGGATGACATTCTTATTTATTCTCGTGACCCCGCTCAACACACGGCCCACGTTCGTTTGGTTCTTCAGCGGCTGCTGGAGAACCAATTATTCGTTAAAGCTGAAAAGTGCGAGTTTAACACCTCCACTTTTTCTTTTCTCGGCTTTATTTTTGAGGGTGGTCATTGCCGAACCAACCCTGAAAAGACCAGGGCGGTAGTCGATTGGCCGACTCCCGAGTCCAGGAAGCAGTTACAACGTTTCCTGGGGTTTGCAAATTTCTATAGGCGGTTTATCAAAGATTACAGTCGTGTCGCCGCCCCCCTGTCTCAGCTCACTTCGACTGCCCGAGCCTTTCATTGGACCCCGGAGGCTGAAGCCGCCTTTTCAAAGCTCAAGTCCCTCTTTTCCTCGGCGCCCATCCTTTGCCATCCTGACCCCGCGCACCAGTTTATTTTAGAGGTGGACGCCTCTGACACTGGGGTTGGGGCGGTCCTCTCCCAACGGTCTCCTCTGGACAACAAGGTCCATCCCTGCGCCTTTTTCTCTCGTCGTCTCTCCCAGGCTGAGCGAAACTATGATGTGGGCAACCGCGAGCTTTTGGCGGTCAAACTCGCCCTCGAGGAATGGCGGCACTGGCTGGAAGGCACTGAGACACCTTTTTTGATCTGGACCGACCATAAAAATCTGATCTACCTGCGTAACGCCAAGCGTCTGACCCCCCGTCAGGCCCGTTGGTCGCTTTTCTTTAATCGTTTTAATTTTGTTTTGACTTTCCGTCCGGGCTCCAAAAACATTAAGCCGGACGCCCTGTCCAGACAGTTTGCCCCACCAGACTCGTCCGAGCCTTCAGATTCTATTATCCCTTCGTCCTGCATTGTGGGCTCTCTTTCTTGGCCCATCACCGCCACCGTCCAACAGGCCCTCCTCTCCGAACCAGACCCTGGTGGTGGTCCTCCCGGCACCCTCTTCGTTCCCTCCAGCGTGCGGTCCCAGGTTCTCCAATGGCTTCACACAAATAAGCTTTCCTGCCACCCCGGAGTCAACCGTATGCTCTCTCTTACCAAGGCCCATTTCTGGTGGCCCTCCATGACTTCGGACATTAAGGACTTTGTTTCTGCCTGCCCCGTCTGTGCCAGAAACAAGTCCGGCACTCAACCCCCGGCTGGCCCCCTGCTTCCCCTCCCGACCCCTAGTCGCCCTTGGTCCCACATTGCCCTCGACTTCGTTACCGGCCTTCCACCATCTGACGGCAACACCACCATCCTCACTGTTGTTGACCGCTTTTCGAAGGCCGCCCATTTTGTTCCCCTCCCTAAGCTCCCCTCTGCCCTTGAGACTGCCCAGCTACTCACCCTCCATGTGTTTAGGCTCCATGGGATCCCGTCGGACATTGTCTCTGACCGAGGCCCGCAGTTCATCTCCCAGGTCTGGCACTCCTTTTGCAAGTCGCTCGGGGCGTCCGTTAGCCTCACCTCTGGTTACCATCCCCAGGCTAACGGACAAGCCGAGCGCTGCAATCAGGAGCTGGAGTCCACACTGCGTTGCCTGGTCGAGTCTAATCCCTCGTCCTGGAGCCAGCACTTGGTTTGGGTGGAGTACGCTCATAACTCCCTCCGCTCCTCTGCCACCGGCATGTCCCCTTTTGAAGCCTCCTTAGGCTACCATCCTCCTTTGTTCCCGGACTCAGAGACAGACTGTTCGGTCCCATCCGTCCAGCACCACTTCAGGCGTTGCCGTCGTATCTGGCGCCAGGCCAAAGCAGCCCTCCTTAGGACCGCAGCCCAGGCAAAACGGTTTGCTGACCGCCACCGTTCAGAGACGCCCGCCTACCAGGTCGGCCAGCAAGTTTGGTTGTCCACCAAGGACATTAAGCTGCGGGACACACCTCGCAAACTGGCCCCCCGCTTCATTGGTCCCTTTCCCATCACTCGCATCATCAATCCCTCTGCGGTCCGCCTCCAGCTCCCCAGGGCCATGCGCATCCATCCCACGTTCCACGTTTCCCAAGTGAAACCTGTTTCCCTCAGTCCCCTGTGTCCTCCATCTGACCTCCCTCCGCCGCCTCGCCTGATCGACAACCACCCTGCGTTCTCCGTTCGCTCCATCTTGGACGTGAGGCGCAGGGGCAGGGGTTTCCAGTACCTAGTCGATTGGGAGGGGTACGGTCCTGAGGAGAGGTCATGGATCCCCAGGTCCTTTATCCTTGACCCCAGTTTAATTTCCAGGTTTTACAGAGACCACCCCGAGAAGCGCCTCAGGTCGCCAGGTGGCGATTCTTGAGGGGGGGTACTGTAAGGATCCCACTGCCTGCAGCCTGCCCTGCTGATGGCCGCTG